GTGTGCGTGTGCGTGTGTGCGTGTGCGTGTGTGTGTGTGTGTGTGTGTGTGTGTGTGTGCGTGGACAACACAATACAAAATATCCAACTTTATGGAGACGACACTTTCATACGAATGAGCCAAATTTTATTTACGCAACACGTAAAGCTCGCTAAAATGAGGGTCAAACATTAACAGCAGGAACGCAGAGCGTCGCCCGCGGTAACCATTGCAGATAAACACGTCATAAACAGACGAGCAGTGAGTGAAATAAAATGATCCACACAACCTTTGACCCCAGACAGGTCAGAGGTGTCGGTCCCTGCTCATGGGACAGACTGAAGGTCTCGATGTTGTGTCAGCAGTGAGATCCTCTTCATGTGCAGCTGCCTGGAAACGCACACAACGGGATTTAACGACCTTTGACCTTTGGTACTTTTCAGCAAGCTGCTCAGGATGTGGACCGGGATACCGCAGCCCGCTGGACGCCATGAAGGGTGAGCCCATCAGCTGCGTGTGTCTTTTAGCCAGCAGGTAAAACAAAGGGGGAACCTGCTGCTTGTGTCACATGACCTGTGCTGAGGTCACAGGCTTCTTTGTTCTGTTTCTGTTTTGAAGTGAGACCTAGTCGGGGCTGACGCTGCATTGTGGGCGGGCCTAAAGGGCCAACAATGACACGCCCACCCTGACGCTCGGTGTTGAGCTTTCTGAAAAAGTAACAGGTAGCATTTTTGAAGACATCACAGCAGCCCGAATCACTCTGACCTGTTAAACTTAAGCAGGATATCAGGGGTCAGAGGTCGCTCAGCAGATAACTCGGTCCAGAACCAGAGCCCTGGCGCCTGGTTGGGTGGAGGTCTGCTTCCGGCTCTGCACTGGTTTGGCCCAGCTGTGGACCTTTCCTGCAGGCTGGAGATCCAGATGTTTGGCTGAGATTGTTATGGTTCACATAATTGAGGAAGGAGAGTACAAACAACCAGGTCCAGAAGATCTTGGTTAAACAATTGATTTTAATGAATACACGCGTGGGAAGACCACTGTACGCAGACAGCACTTGATCTTCGACTTAATCAAAGCATACACAGATTTTTATAGCATCACTGTTTGAATTAATGACGCCCCTTCATACGTCACAGACAGAATATATACACACGTCAGATCAAAACCACAATGACTTTTAACACAGTTTAAAAGAACGTTGTCTTCGTCTTCATGGCCGGTACTTCCTGTCACTGCCGGATGCTCTCTTGTCATCTTGACACCTCAGCAGCAGTTCTGTGACAAACTGCTCTTTTTGCAACCCCAAGCAAAACATGATTAAACTTCCACCTATAAATGATTCTCTAACTGAGTGAGTGTGTGTGTGTCGTCCTCAAATGTTCTCTCAATTCACCCGTTGCACTTCTGACCTTTTACCAGACCAGAGGCTCATCCTTATGTGTAATAACCTAACTGAAACTACATGTACTATGTTGAATAAATGTTTTAATCAAGAACCTCTACTAAGAGCTTA